GAGAGAGACCAAAACCAGATGTAAAATCCTATATACAGCTGGGCAGTGGTGGCGCATGCCTTTAATCCCAGCACTCGAGAGGCAGAGGCAGGAGGATCTCTTTGAGTTCGAGGCCAGCATGGGCTACAGAGTGAGTTCCAGGAAAGGCGCAAAGCTACACAGAGAAACCCTGTCTTGAAAAACTAAAAAAAAAAAAAATCCTATATACAGGGTCTGGAGAGATGACACACACGTTAAGAGCATGCACTGCTCTTGTGGAGGACCAGAGTTTGGCTCTCAGCACCTACATCAGCCGCCTCACAACTGCCTCTAACTCCAGCTCCAGCGAAACTGGCGCCCTCTTCTGACCATCATGGAAACCTGCACTCATGTAAACATACCCACCCACACATATACACGATTAAAAATAAATATTTAAGAATTGTATATAAGCGTTAGTCATAATAAGCAAAATCCAAATGTTCAGCCAGGGATGGCGAATGACAAAATGGGACCCATCAACATAGCAAAGCATGATTTAACAATGAAACGCTAGGCCAAAACAGCCGTTGGCAGCCAGTCATTGACAGCTACAAAATTTGAGTCCACTTACACAAAATGTCCCCAAGAGGAAACCCACGGAGACAGAGCAGAGAAGCTGATGGAGAAGACAGAGGTGGGGTGATTACAAAGGGCAGAAGCTTTTTCTGAGGTAAGGCGATTCTAGAGCTCAGCTGTCCGGGGTTCCAACTCGGACTGTGTTAAAAATCACAGCCCCATGAAGTTCAAGCGGGTGAATTGGGACATATGAATTCAATCTCAAAACTGTTCGACGAAATCAAATCAAACAAGTGTCACGTGCTCCGAGGAAAAGGCAAAGCAGTGTCGCCGTCCCCCACCCCTCCCCGCTCCCGCAGATTCTGTGCCCCCAACACTAGCACCAGGGTGGATGGAGCAACCTGACAGGGTCGGCTGGAACTGAAGGGTCTCCCCAGTGCCCCTACAGTTCCATGCTATCCCCTGCATAGGACAGCAGAGAAAGGTTTCTGAGGGTCACCATGGAGGTGGCAGAGGCAGGGTGAAGTAAATCCTGGGTTCTGGAAGCTTCCAACGTGAGAAGGCCCAGGGTGATTAAGTCTTTTGTCCAAAGGCGAATAGCCATGTGTAACTCCAAAGCCCATACAGTTCACCTTATGTCATCCTGCCCCCTAGTGAGCCTCCCCAGATATGAGTGGTCTCCTATGGCACGGTTGGCAGAGGACCGTGGTATGTGGCAGGCAGGGTCTACCCACCCTATCATCTTGTTCTGCACACACAATTCTGCAGGCTCAGCCTGTGTGCATAAAGGAATTAGGGACAGGGGTCAGGCCCAGGAACCAAGAACCCTAGCTCCTGGGGCTGGCAACCAACGTAAGCTAATACCTTCCAGCCCTCCTGCTCTTTGCCCTTTTCCCCTGGGTAGAACAGGTGGAAGGTGGGGCCTCTGGGGCCAGGCCACTGCACACAGAGAGCCACGGGGAACCCCACGCAGTGGGGACTCCAGGGCTGGTCGGCATTCACAATTCCAGCTTTGAGCCTCCTGGTGCATCCTGCTGGCTCTGTCCTCTCCACAGCCAGCTTGGCTGCAGAGCGGCTGAGGTCACCAGGACTAGGCTCCCAGACCTACTGAGCTGAAAGCTGGCAGGGTGGAGCTGAGGACACGGCTGGGCCAGCTCTGTGCCCTGCCTCCAACACGGTGTAGCCTGTTGCCGGGAACCTGGCTTTAAGACGCTCCAACATCCAGGAAGGCAAGACAGTTTAGCAAATATAGGTGCTCGCCACCAAGTCTGACGACCTGAGTTGGAACCCTGGCCACACACGGTGGGAGAGAACTGACTCCTGAAAGCTCTCGCCTGACTCCTTGCACACACGCTACAAATAAATAAACAAAACGACACACAAACAAAGACTCCAAGATGTGACAAAGTCACCTAGTCGGCAAGCAGCCTACAGACAGGCGGGGGCCAGCACCACAGGGCATCCCCACCTGCCACCGGCTGGCACTGCAGATGCATTTTTACGGAGGTGGGTGGATGAGTCCTCTTATCCCATCTCAGAGGGGCCATTCTGGCCACGCAGTCAGGTAGGGCAGAGCTGGGGCACCGTGGAGCAGGGGCAGTGTCCTTGAGGCCTTGGTTGGTACCCTCAACCCTTGCCACCTTTGTCCTTTGGTTAGAAACTGAACCTCTAGGATTCTGATTTGCCCCATCATAAGCTTTATCCAAGCCTAC